ATATATATATATATATATATATATATATATATATATATATATATATATATATATATATATATATATATTCTATGTGAAAGTTTAAGTTAAATATATACGTATATATTCTATGTTGAGAATTACGATATTCATACTTAAAGCCAAATTTGGAATTGATATTTCTGCCTTATCGAAAGCGTCAGTAAGAATTTGCAAGGACCTATTTTCACGTGGCGCAGCGGGAGTCATTTGACTAACTACGTGCCATTACGAAGAGCAAATGTCGCGCGTCGTCATAACGTCGTAAATTACAGTTACACCGTCACGAGCGCACGAATGCGCGCGACATTAAACGCGCGAAATCGGGTCGCGAAAAACCTCGCGATTATATGAACGACCCGGGCTCGCGACGATAGAGGCATAGGTAACGCGTGCAACGCTTACGAGGATCGTCGATGACTTACGATTCACGTCGAGGATGAGCAGTTTGGTTTGCGGTGGCACCAGGTTCGTGTTGCTCGCTTGGCAGATTAGTCTCGCCTTGTGATGCTGTCGCCCAATTTTAGGATACGCCAAGTGGTTAACCGTTACCCCGGTCTCGGCGTTGTAGTGATAGGACTCGTCTATCACGTTGTTGTCGAGGTACCACGTCAGCTTCGGGGGTGGCTTGCCACCTCGAACCTCGCAAATCAGGTTCACGTCGCTCCCCTCGTTGTACGGTTTCTCGATGCTCCAAACGTTCCTCGTCTCCCCATCCAATATTATCGGCTTCGATGGAGGCACTGTGCGAACAGCATGCGTCGTTAGAACAGCGTGGATGTTAATCGATCGTTTGTCAAGTGAGCAAACGAACAAACGACAGACAGACAGGCAGGCAGTCGTTGGCAAGAGAGAGAGAGAGAGAGAGAGAGAGAGAACGCGCGCGGTATTGCGGTGGAATCCGAGCGGGGGGTTAACTTGCTACGTTGTAGCGGAATTAACTGTTATAATGGCCCTAAAACAGGTTGTAGTTACGAAGTATAGATAACCGCGGCAGCGGCTCAATTTGCGAAGCAAACCGCGGCTTACGCCGAGATTAATTTATGCACCGGGAAGTGCCGAGAGTTCATAAGTCAACGCTCACGAAATGTATCGAGAGCAAATGTATCGATGACCGAACAATGGTGGTAGCGGCTGCTGGCGGCAACGAGGAGAGCTCACGCACGAATCGATCCGCGTTTTGCGTTAAGTACGGTAAAAGTACCAATGTCTGGACACTAATAACATTGTTTAACCTAATTTTGAATATTCTTACTGTTTTGGTCCTTGACCATTTATTTGCTTTCGCAACATCGACTTCTCATGAGCTATATTCAAGAATAATAGATGTGGAACGCATATACAGGTACAGCATTGTTGCTCTGGAACATTCTATTCGTCTCAGTAAGTTTGATTTTTGTCACTAGATGACAAAAATTGGAAATGTCCTCAAAATTATATTTTTAGAACAATACAACTGCACTCAGCAGACATCATTTATATTCAAGAATTTGTTCCCTTAAATTGTTTGCCAAATAAAAGGTTAAATACGAACTTTTAAGTTTTCAATATAGAGAAAGAGAATATATACATGTATATTGAATCTATACATATATTCTATGTTGAAAAAGTTTGAATATTTAAAAATTAAAGCTAAGATAACAAGAATGTCGAGAGAGTTAACTATTATTAGTGTCTTAGGCATTGGTGTACTTTTACTTTACATGCGCGTGAAAGCGAATTGAAACACAAACACACGCAGGAGACGGCGAGATTGACTTTTCGCACGTTGTTTGACGCGACCACCATTATTGCACCTGATATCAAAAGGACCGACTTTAATTGTCGCGCGATCGCCGGCCTGATCGAGTTCGATCGGAGGGGGAAGGTAACAATGCGCTTACCTATAACGGTTAAGTTCATCTTTTGTTTCCGCGTCGGCGAGTTTCTAAAGTCCACCCGGCACCGATAGATCCCCTCGTCCTTGCTCTCCAGCCGATCGATGCTGAGGTGCGCTGGATTCGTCACCGTGATAAAAAAAGCTCTTGGTCCCAATGCCTTGGGCGACGACCAGAGATGGGCGTTGCTGAACTGCCGGCGGCCGCGAACGTCAAAGCTGCAACAATCGATTGATTCCTTTGCTCAGTTGTGGCGGGTGCGTCGTCCTTCGCCGATCGGGTATAGTCTCGATTGCGGATACAGTCAATTAATGCCACATCGTTGAAATGATCGGTATAATATGTATCGGGTAGTATGTAGAATCGCAGTGTTTCTCTCTCGCTAATAGATACACTGAAACAACGTCGATAGAATACGCAACCCCTAATAAGTCAATTTGTCGCGGATAATTACCACTTTGCTCGTTATTCATATACCAAAAACTGTGCCAATTTAATCATCCCATAATTTATGATGTAATTGCAGCATGTCAATTAAAATGGCACACTGACGTCGTTATTGAAAGCTTGTCGTAATTGCATTAATTACAATTACATAAATGATGAATGTATATTCCTGGCTACTTGCGAAAGCGCTTGTGCCACATCGTTTCGAAATTTCTAGTTAGCTACGAATTTAAAATTGCACGTAGACCCCTCTGCAAAATCGTGTTTATTAGATTACGATCAACATAATTTTTTCACGTTTGCAATTATATCTCACGTTACATTAATCATTTATGTACAATGTTGAGTCTGCGAGAATCAAATGGATATTCCATTGCTCACTTTGACTTTTGTCAAGTTTGAAGTTACAAAGGGAACACTTCGAAAACAGCGCAAATCTTTTGCAGATTTTAATGTTATTGCACTGCTATCTAATAGCTAGAGCGTTCCTGCATCTCTGAAAAAGAATGTGTTCAGAAATATTAATTTTCGACAAAGTTATGGGTCACAGTTGCTCAAATCTAACAGACCCAGATTGTGTCCTTTAAAATAATGATCGTTGGCTTTGTAACGTATGAAATCTCGCAAAATCACGAAATCCCACTCTTTTATTCGATGATGCGGCAAACGTCGTTTCGGTCGATCGAAGAGCTGAATTCGTCCGCAACTTTCAAAGTTCAAATGCGCGCGTCTTTGCCGCAGAATTCTCCCCGGCAAAGAATCGCGCGGGCGCGAATTACGATTCGGTGGACGTGTCTATGTACGGAGAATTACCTGGGGAGCCATCCCCAGTGCGTGATTGCATATTAAGCATCCGCGGTGTGCGAGCATGGAGACAAAGGGAGACGGATTAGAGGGGCAGAGACGGGGGATACATAAGAGAGCCCGCGCGGGACAGAAAGAAGAAAGGGTGGCTCGGGGGAGAGAACGAGCGAGCGTGGAGCCCGTCGGTCTCCTCGCGAGCGACTAAAAGTTAAATTGCGTTCCGCGACTGCAAGGGAGTTCGGATTTTCGCTCGTGACTGAGTATTCCCAAAGCTATCCCGGGGCCTCACGCTTGCTTCCGCGGCATTGACGTTGAAATACGATTTAATTCTTCCACTTCGCACTTCCAGTAGACGAGCAGGGCGCTTCCGTGACGCGCCTCCGACGCTGCCCGTCCGCCCGCCCGCCCGCCTGCCCGTCTCGTCGACAGGCCAGCGGATAGGGCAGCCCTCGAAGCAGTCGAGTACACGTACCCGACCCCGTCGTCCCGGCACGAACGAGCCGCGGATATAACACGTTCGACCGACTTTCCTCGCGAGCGATAACCCTGAAAAGCGATTTTCCCATATCGGTCTTCCGCCGACTTCGAGACCCCGACGTTCATCGACGCGGAGCGACTCTCAAGATCGATCGGTCGCCTATCCTCCCGACTCGTCGATCACGACTTGAGAGGCTGATTCGTCGGGACTTTCCGGAAAAGCGTCGCCTACAGGCGTTTCTTCGTTATCTTGGGAGATTGCCGCGCGGATAAGCCCGTATGTGTACATGTATATGTGTATGTATGTATATATATATATGTGTGTGTGTATATATATATATATATATATATATATATATATATATATATATACACATATATATATGTGTTGCCCTTTTAAAGTCACGCGGAAACGATTCGGAAGCGAGGTAGCGCGCGAGTTATATCGAGGCGTGCGAGAGAGCACGGTAGACGAACGTCGTCTCAATTATCGTCCTATGAGGCGCCAGTGGAACGATTTACGTTGAGCCCGGACACGCGTTCTCGCGTGTTAGCGGGGAGTACGATGCGCGATACCGAATGAACACACGAAATTAATTCCTTCGATAAAAAACGGTATCAACTTCCGAGGTGTTTCAGCCAACACGGCGAGTGCGAGGCCGTCTTTCGCTGTCCTCTATTTATCTGCTACTTCCCGTTGCGCGTCGTTCTCGCTAAGAAACCGATCGTTTGAAAAGTCTCACGCAAGGAAAGAAATTTACTGGGTTGCTTCGGCGAGGTCTAAGTGTCTTGAAAGTGTCTTGAAAGTTTCTCGGCCGAGCGTTGAATGGAATTGAGTAGATTCGATTTTACGAAGTGTTATCTATTAAAGTAAAATGCCGCCGGAGAGCTTGTAAATATTATTCAGAGTTTCTCGCGATCGAGACGCCGTGCACCGACTTTATCAATATTATCGAGTGCTGTTGAAGCTCAAAGAGTTAGTGTAAGTGTGTGTGTGTATAATCGCGATCAAATATCCATATCGCGATGAACACAGACGATCGTTGAACTTAATCGAAAATCTATATAAGCTCCGCGCACGCGATATCGAAATAGTGTGGAGCGGAAAAATTCTCTCCCGAGGGTCGTGAATAATCGTGAATTCGACGATATTAATGTGGTTAACTAAAGTAGTGGTCCGGCGACAAATCCGGTATTTGCGGGACCGGCACTGCTCGCTTTTGTCGAACGAGCCGCAGCTCCTGAAAATCCTGATGGCGTATACGTATCGCGTGACTCCTTAACCCCTATCGCGAACAAGACACTGAATATATAAAGAAGGCGGGCGAGAGATCCCGAAGAGGGACTATGCGCGATCATAGCCGCGTACTCCCGCAGTTTCCTTTCCTTAACTGTCTGGCGTTCGTACGATAAGCGGGCACGATGTCACGCAATAAATATTTTACTGCGAGAGATCCCGCGAAGGGAGGAGACGATGGCGCTGGGGTACTCGCGAGAACGGCTCGGGGGTGCGAAGAGGGGTGGAGACGCTTTAGTACGGCGGCCGCCTTTAAATTTAAAGTTCCTCGTCGTGGCGAGGATTAAACTGACTTTACAACAAGCGACGATCCCGCACCGCCACCGAGTGCCAGCTTTCGGTGGTCTTCCTTCCCTCTGCGCCTCCTCGTAGACGCCTTCTTCCCTCGCCCTTTTCCGCAGCGATGCATCGTCAACCCCCTGTTCCCCTCGACCCTGCACATATCTTACACCTTATTACATTTCTTAAATATGACTCACCGGATACCAACGTCGACGAGACCCCTCCCCGACGCGCTCCGTTTCCACCCCTCCCACGCGATGCACCGACCGCCATTCTATATGCAAAATTTCACGGGTCGCGGAAGCGAGACGGCGACTCCAGTAGCGAATGGACTTTACTCCGTGGAAAATAACGCGAGGAATTTCCGGACCTGAACCCTCCGACTCATTCCTTTTTGATTTCTCCGGCGAGGCGCTTTATGAACGATATGGACGGCTTTTTCGTACGAGGGTTTCCTCGATTGCGTTTTCGCTTCGGCACATTTGTAGCGCGCAGAGAGGAAGGATCGCGTACTGGGAGAAGATGTATGTTTTGTGGCGCGAGTACGTGCGGTACGTGAGAATTAGAGTTCTCGGGTACGTTTAACGTGGCACTTTGGAGGAACTCGTAATTTTCAGTATTTTCCTTACCTGTAAATCGGTTCATTCCCGCCTTCCTTGTACCAAAGTACCATGCTGACTTCGTCATTCTCGGCGGAACGAATATCGCAAGGGAGCTGCGCCTTGTTCCCGACTACGCCGTCAATAGTAACGGTCGGTACTGCAATGAAAAAAGTGAATAGATATAAATAAAAGGGCAATTTACTCGCTTTTCTCTAAGTGACGCATTTTAAATCGACAGTCTCGTGCCCATTCGGAGCTACCATATAAATTGGAGCCAATAAACGCGACACAGATCGCAACTCCACTAGAAATCACGTTTGACCTGTCGATAGTGCTACAAATCCTAGCGCTTTTTCCATTTCTGAGAGAGGCAAAGACAGAGTATCAAATCAGTTAATCGAACTGCAATCAAGCAGGTCTCTCAACAAAGCATCTATAACACGACACATTATTATGGTTAAGCAAAACGCCGCCTTAGTAGGTACAAAAACACCGGGATTACGTCTCATTAGATGAGAATTTAGCGGTGATGTACACGCCGACGGTTAAGGCGAGCTCCTGCTCGAGCTTAAGACTTCCCATCCTCCCCCACGATGGTTAACGGTGGTTTGATGTCGTCGCGCGGTTCCGTCTGCCCGATTAGATTTACATGTAGATGGATTTATCGCGTTTTAATGAGCTCTCCCGCTCACTCGATCACTTCCACGCTTCCGCACCCTCCAGCCCCGTCATCCTGCCGGTGACGTAGCCGTTATCTTTCCACGACGACGCGTTTTCCGACGTATCATCGGACTTCCCGATTGCTTCGCTAGGCGTCGTGCCTCGGAAGCGATCGCTCCCAGGGATCCCATCGATCACCGAGCTAGTATTTCGTCGTTCGACGTCCGATCGCAGTAGGATCGGCATCCACGAATTTTCGTGCACATGGACTATAAAGCGCGCTGATATTTTTCCCCGACAAAGAGCAGCGAAACGACTGGGAAAACGGACCGACGGTGACGCGCGCTCAAAGATGCGCGCACAAACGCGCCAGTGTCCCTCGCGTGTCGAAATCCGCGAAGATATTGCGTGAATGTGCCAAGTGTTTGCCGAAGGGATCAGTGCAGTCGGCGCGCCGAACACTCTGAATCTGAAATTAGAACGCCGCTAGACCTTCCGTGCGGGGAGACAGGCGACTCGATATGAGAAACGCGATAAGCAAACACACACGCCGGGCGTAGTTGCTCTTCTTCTTTGCACTGCTCTCTGAACCAACTCTCGGGCAACGGTAACTTTAACTTTGCATATCGCGAACTCCGAATACGACCCGACTACTAACAACTTGTTAATAAGTCCGCCAAACTATAAATGCTAACCAATGCACCTTTTTCCTAATCGCACATAGAAAAATGCATGCTGCATTCAAATGGATGTTACTTATTTCGAGTACTTTGTAAGTTTCATATCCAATTTATTCAAAATACATTCTGAATTCTAGCAAGTTTAGCATTTCGATCAAGAGAATTTTTTTTTTAATAAAATTCTCGGTTTGCTTATCACATAGAAACAACTTTTTTCTCGGTAAACTTTTATAATATTCTTGTAACGAGGATAAATTCTTTTTTTTGCGTAGATAATATAATAAGTTTTTTTAATTTACAAAGAATATATTTTAAGATTATATTACCGAGAAAATATTCTTTGTTGGAGACAACTATCACCTTAAAGGAGGAAAATAAACTGAGTAATTACTTTTCTTAGCAGTAGAATGATATTTTGTGTGCATATTTATTTATGTGCGTATATTTATACTATATAGAGTGTCTAATGCAAGACCACGTATATAGATAGATTGAGTCAAACTGAACAAAAAAAAATGCTTCTCTCTACCAGTTTGCAAATAACCATGTAGACATTTAATTATTAATTAAAGAAGATTAGTGCATTATTACGTACAATTATACCCCAAAAATGTTAGAGGAATTTTTTGTTCAGTTTGACCTACTTACACATAATTTTGCATCTTGACATCCTGTATAAAAAGTATATCCTCATCATTTAACGTGTGTTTTAATTGAAAATATTCGTGAAAACACGAAGACTTAAGTTAGAAAGCTACGTTGGGCTTGATTCGCTCATTCCGATTACAATCATAGTTGTTAACGCGTTTAACACGCACGATGAGACGCGCGTTTAAGACGCAGTTATAGATGCGCGCGATTACACTCGGGCGCAATCAAAATGCTTCCGTAACGCCGCGGGACACGAAGCTACGCCTGGTGAAGCAGGCACATTCTTCCGATCCCATTTAATCCCGAGAGAAGTTCTCGAAGCGGTTCCGGAAGGAAACTCGAGGAAGCTCCGTGCAAACTCGAGGAACGTCCGCGAGTGTGACAAGCGCCCAGTGCGCGCGCGCGCTTGCTCGCGCGCGAAACAATTTCATTTATCACAAGAAAAATAGCGGTTTAACTCCACGAGTGGGCGTATCATACATTTTCCGCAAGTTGGAGCATGCGGGAAAGAGAGAGAGAGAGAGGGGGGGGGGGAGGGGG